ATCAACGGGATAACCAGCTACTAGCTCTATATATAGCTATAGTATGTGATGGGTATTGATGGGTTATGTATGTTTATTCATGTGATAGACCAAATAACACCCAATGGTAAACCTAGCTAATGTTGATAAGACAGTAATAAACCAGCAATATGTTTGATGGTTTCTACCACCCTTTTTCTGTTGATTCCCCCCATTCTTGTGGCTAAACAAACATTCGCACAGCATCGCTACCCTGCCCCTGCGAGGTACGCTCCCGGGGGAGAACTCTTCGATTACATCGTGGAGCATGGTCGAGCCGAGGAGCCCACGGAAATCCAGCACTAAAAGACACGAGGAATCTGAAAATGGCAGATGAAGTGGTGGGTTTGTCATGGGATTTTCGTAGGATTTCATGGGATTTATATAATGGGATAACCGGGGATAGCATATGAATCACTTTTTTTATTTTTTTTATCTATCCAAATATAACCATCATGGGGATGAACATGGATGGCCAATGGCTGAATTTTCCGTGGTATTTTGATGGCTGAACCCGGTGATTGGGATTTTTACCACAGAAATGGTGATTCAGTGGGATTTTCAACAGAAAGCGTGATTGAATGGGATTTGACCGTGGAGCACCCTATAAACGGAGGTTTTGATGGGAAATTTAACTAGAAATCGTGGATTGTCCAGCAAAGCATGTTGGAGTACTGGAGGGTAAACCCTCATTTCAGGCCATTTCAACTATGTCAATCCGTGGGAACATGATGATAAGCTAATGGATTTCGGAGTACCCTATGTACAGGCTAAGTGGATCTTTTTGTGGTTCGTAAGTGTTTCGTACGTCCCATTACATCCCAGTTACAAGGGGATAGAACTTCATAGAACCCACAGACAAACCACTTGGCTATTTCTTTAGAGACATTCTCACGTAGAAATGTAGCAATCAAACACATCGATAAATGCTGCCAGATTGACTACGGGAAGGCATTTCTGAACGTGGTTGGGAAGCCCATCCAACAGTAGATTTTAGATACCCTCTGGTAAACGTTAACATAACTATGGAAAATTACAATTTTTAATGGGTAAATATGTAAATCAACTATTTCTATAGCCATTTTCAATAGCTTTTTGTATGTTTACCAGAGGGTATCCATTGAATCCATGACAAATCCCAGTTGTTATCATCCGACCTACCTACAAAGCGCTCCTTGTGACAGAGAACGTTTACCATCCGCCTTTTCAGCGTGATGGGTTTGCTGGGTTTCCCATATTATCCATCATTATCTCATAAGGCCCATAAGTTATGGCTATAGATGAGTTGGTTGGAAAACATCACAATGGGTTGACATTATGTATTTTTCCGAACATCGAAATATACCCAATCATTTGCTCCCATTTGAAAGAGACATGATGGATTGGATGTAAGTTTCGCTCCACTTTGGGACAAGTCGACAAAGCCGTTTCAAGAGGCCCTGAACATCAAAGGTTGTTCAGGGTGCTATGAAGCCACAAACTATGGCTCAGAGGACTTCCCTAGACTGGGCAGTGAGAAGTTCACCAAAGGCTTTATCGCAGCTTCCATGCGCTAATGAGAAGAGGCCATGAGTTCCCCTCATTCAAACCAGGGCCTGGTTGATTGGTAATTTCCGATACGAATTTTGGGGGGGTTCCCTAACCTTAGCGTTCTGGATTGGGAGCCAAACATGATGCCTCTTCGATCGGAGTTATGGGTTTCGAGTCCTTACTTGGTATCTTGGTGGTTTCAGTGTTTCTACGCCCACATGTTCCAGATGTTCAGCCCAGCAACTGGCGTGGGTCGACCTATGTCGACCTCGACCAGTGCTATTGGGCCAATTGGGAGACACCTCCAATCTAGGCTTCATTTCCTGCTAGTGAATGAACTCGAATGAACTACTGGTTTCTATGGATTTCTCGCTAATTTCTCTATCCCCTAGACCAGATTTTGGACTGAAACTTTGATTGGATAGCCTCTTGATTTGCCCTCTGGCAACATAGCCATGTAAAATCACAATGTTTGAAAATAGTAGTTTAATTTATTTTAATTTTTCATATTTTTTCAATCTTTGGCAATAACATCGATTTTCCAGAGCAAACATTAGCAAATTGTCGATTTTCCATTTATGTTCCATAGCAAAACACCATAAATCACCATTGTTTGAATAAATGTCCATAACAATCACCATACATCACCATAAATTTCCACAAATCACCATACATCACCATAAATTTCCACAAATCACCATACATCACCATAAATTTCCACAAATCACCATACATCACCATAAATTTCCACAAATCACCATAGATCAACATAAATTTCCACAAATCACCATAGATCATTGTTTTAATTGGTAAATCATCGATTTTTTAATGGTTCGTTTCCCATGGGCCCATGGGCGCAACTCTGCATGCCTGCCAGGAGAAAGATGTCAAAGCCTCAGGGAGGGCATCTCCTGATGGGCTCCGGTGGGGTTTTCATTGGTGGTTCCAACTTTTCCAGACTTCCAACATGTTCAAATCCCTTCCTAATCACCCCCTAAACGAAATCATGGTTTAGTAGTCGGGAAATTCCATATCTGGTTGGTGGTTTGGAACATGAATTTTATTTTTCCATATATTGGGAATAATCATCCTAACTGACTTTCATATTTTTCAGAGGGGTTGAAACCACCAACCAGATAAATATCAAATTAAATGGTGATGTGTCAAAACCTACTATTACAGTGGTAATTATTACATATTATTACTATTACCATATTTGGATATATTTTTGGGGAATAACCATCCATTAACTAGCTAGGACCAGGGTTTTGATTCACAACTCACTGAACATATGTTAGTTTACACGGTTTAATGTAGGGTAATGTTTACATATGTTTACAGTACTGGAATATGGAATGTAAATGGTACATATTATTATTGGAATATGGAATATGCATCGCCCATATTACTGGAATATGGAAATATATGAATGGTAATTAACGGTAATTAAATTGTATTGGCGAAGTACTGGTTCTATGGGTTGTTTCTCTGGTATGCGTGCCCCCCAAATAACAGTTGTTTACTACATGTACAGGGAAAATCTATTCGGAATTGGAGAGACCCTAGATAATGAGGCCCCAAAGCAAAATCCCTAGGAAAATTGGTCGGACAATTCGACAGGTGAAGTGATTTAAACCAAAGAAAAAAATGGGTGGTACTTGCGGGGTACTCCCGGGTAATCTGATGAAATGGCCATGTTTAAGATGCAAATCATCTAGACATGTTGATTGTTCCATGACTATGTTGAATTAAACATGCTATCATGAGGGTTAGAGTCAACTACTATAATCAACTGTAGCAATCTGCACCAAAATGGCAAGCTGGGGAACATGATGATAAACCATGGGATGCGCTGGGGTTCTGAATATTTCTGAAAGATCAGACATGCCCAAGCATTCTTATTTTCCATCCTCTAAATGAGGATGATGACTACCAAAGTTGTTTCAATATACCAGATCATGCATGAGCATGAGCGGGTATATTTCCCTACATTTGACTTATGTTTGTGAAAATGTATATGTATTATATATATATATATCCCATACATCCCAATTTTTGGTAAAACAAACTATTTCAGTTGATCTCCCGCAAAAAAACACATATTAATTATATAATATAGTATGTATGATATATGCAGGGTTCCTAAAATGCTTTTGTACCCCAAGTCACCATGGGTTTCAATACTAAGTCATGATCGTTCATGACGACTGGATGATGTGTGGTACCCCTATGACAAAACAGAACCCCCCATAGATATCTTAGTGTCATCAAGGATCAGCAGATCATCTGCGCAGATGAGACCCTCTTATGCTTGGTTGTTTTTAAACCCATGCAGTTTTTTGGCCCGAAAGACAAATGTGATTTTTAAGTGATAAATGCTTCTTTCTATGAGGTGATCAATCCGTAAACGGGCTTATATCACTGACTTAAAACTGGTATAACTCGGGCCATAACTGTGGTGTTCGGTCATGTTCCCCGGAAAAAAGAAACCTGGCGGACTCGATGGAAGTGATGTATGGAAATGGATATGGCCCAGGTGGCAATGATATGGACTTGCAACTCTGCAGAACTACTATCTGCCCAACTCGACAGGAGGTCGCATCTTGTCGCGGAAGCGCCGCCTGCATGCAGTGATGCAACGTGTTGCATGGCCAACGCAACTTGAAGAGTTGTAGCCTCGATAGCCTCGATCCAACTCAACCAGTGCCTCTTCGGCTTGGCCCAGGCTTGGCTTAGCCCATTTGTTGCTGAAGCATTTGTATCATCAGGACCAGGATGAGCATTTTGGTAAGCCATGTGGTGAGGCCCCTAGTTACAGGTTGCTTTATAAAGCCTTCACTAGAGTCATGTCTAGCACCATAGTTAGTCAAGTTATTTGGGTCAACTTAGCTATCCAAGGGGCCTCACCATGTGGAGGTTTCCTAAAATGGATGTATCCCCAAGTCACCATGGGTTTCAATATGTCTAAGTCATGGTCGTTCATGACTTGGATGATTTGGGGTACCCCCTATGACTTCGGAAACCTCGAAATCCACAGACCCCACATATTCAGAGTCCATATATAAATACGGAATCGCTTATCCATGCTTATCCCATGAATATTCAAATGATATTATTGTCATGGATATTATTCCATTTGTATGTCATGGATATTATTCCAATATTTATCTGGAATATCCATTTATATGAGACATGATTTGAATATTCCACATGGATAAGCATTCCAAATAAATATGATTCGACTATTCCACATGGCCATTCCAATAATATTCCAATATGGCTATGGATCAATACCTATTAATACCATTTTTAGGGGGATGAACATCCATTTACCAGCTATTTTGATGTGAACTACAGGGGTACAAGGTTTTGACACACTGCCATATGTATGCCATTGAATCCATTGATATTCCACCCATGGAAATTCCATAAAAATGGCCCAGGGGCATGCCATGGCAATGGCCCAGGCCTGTCGTTTCCTGCACCAAATCTTGGCTGGTGTTGAGCGAGTCCACCAAACGTCGCTTGGTTTGGTGTTCAGCATGGCTTCTCGAGTTCGACCGAGAACATGTCGTGGGTTTACCATGGTTTACCATGGAAAACCCGGAGAAAACCTAGTAAAATCCTTCTAAAATCATGTAAGATCAGCGAGAAACAATGGTGGCGACAGTATTGCCAAGAAATTTGGGGAGTTGGGCGAGCCTTGGTTCAATGGCCTGATTTTGTGATTTTGAGTGGGACATGTGGAACTACTTAGCTAAGCAAAACTACAGTTGGTGCAGAGTATCGAATCTAAAAATCAGCCAGGAAACAAGATGTGGAATTGTGTGAAACCAGCTCAAATAGCTGGGATATATGTTGGATACATCCAGCTTACCAACACGTTTGCATGTTTCTGGATGATTTGCTTATTAATTAGTACTTACTGTATTAAATACTGGCATGGGGAGTTCCATGGAATTTTGGGAGTTCAATGGATTTTCCACTGCCGTGGTTGATTCCCAAAGATTACCTGTCTACAAATCATTGAACACTTGAGGTTTTATTTGAGTTTTGGGAGGCTTATGATATACAGTAGTTTTTGGTGTTTCGGGATGACTTTCATTCTGTACTTTACTATATTTGATATACACACGAACAGAGAAACTATGTGTTTTCTTTTAGTTAACCAGCTATATGTATAGTAGCCCCCAGCAAGATAGGAACACAGGTCTTCACTATTGCAATTGAGTCACGTTGATTTGTTGAAAAGAAATCAACCAAAATATTTGATAGGAGAACTAAAGATCTATTGCTGCCTTCAATATGTTTTTGTGTCGTCATTATTCATCTTACTTTGTTATGATATTACAATATAACTTTAAATATGTCATGATCATTTTATATTTTTATGTGCACATTTCATAGAATAGTGTTTATTATATATATATATATAATGGAGTGCTCTAAACACTATTCTAATAACATCATTGGAACAGATATGCATAGTGTTTTAAGCAGCAATAGTATGTAATAGTATCTTATAGCATAATATATGTTATATCACTCTTCCATAAATAACATACAATGTGGGCCCCCCCCAGTGATGTTTGTTGGTTTATAAACCCTATGAATACTATAGTTATTTGCGTATCATAAACCATAGTTATTGGAGTTATTTGCATCAACTTAGCTATCGTTTGGGGCCCGACATTGTAAGACCTAAACATGAAGAACAACAACACAATTATCCAGAATGTTATATCTTAAGTAAGATGATCATAAAATGATAGTAAACTTTACTTTCATAGAATATGTTTATATTACCCATGACGGATCCATGGTGCTGCTATATATGGTGTGCCATGGATCCCATCAATATACCCCCTTCATGTTAGCATTTTTCTACCAGCACCATGGATCCGTCATGGGTAGCATGTCAATCTGTTCCATCTTTGTTGGAGATTGCTGCGAGGAATGTGGTGCACCGAGACATGAAACCCGAGAACCTGTGCCCTGGCTGCGAGCTCCAAGAAATGGACCCCGAAGTGATGGCATGTTTTTTTTTTTTTTAATGGGGAAAATGGGGAAAACTGGTTGGTGGTTTGGAACATGTTGTTTGTCCATTCAGTTGGGAAGTTGGGAAGAATAATCCCAACTGACTTTCATATTTTGGTTTGTCTGAAACTAGGGTACCCAAAATCCATTGGTTAATCCATGGGTTAATCATCATTTTCCCCACAAATCATGGTTAATTTGGAAGTATGACGCCCATTTCCAGACACACCCAAATGATGATGACTGACCTGTGGATTTGGAGATTTAGGCGGAACGTCATTGCAATTTTGGGATTCTGATTGACCTGTGCCCTTTCAGACAAACTCTAATTCTTGTTCCTTCGCTTTTGGCACTTTGAGCCACAAGAGTTGCGAGAGAAATAACAAAAGTATGTGTATGTATATATATATATATATACGAACTATGACTAAAACTTCACCTGAACGGATCTGGTCCCTGAAAAACAAGTTTTTTTTCTGGCATTGCTTTTGCAGAAGGATGGTTGGCGAAAAAGAAGATGTCTAGTAAATCCATCGACTTGAACTAACCAACCCCCAGTCCCAAAATTGAGTGGAAATACTACTTTGGGTTGGTCCCCCCCTATTAGTTTGAAAAAAAAACATGTTCCTTATATTTTATTACTTCTTATTAAAACATTGCATTTTGAAAAGCTCTTAAAGGGTGTGGGTTGTTCCCCCCAAATAATGTGCATGTGCACCCCCAATTAAAGAACACCCTCAGCGCCCCTGGCCATAAATTGATTTCAATTGAAATCCTTACTTCTCCTTTAGATCTAGAAAGAAAATCAATTAAAAGTAAACTGATTTCAATTGAAATCCTTACTTTTGCTTCAGATTTGAAAGGAATGATTTCAATTGAAATCCGTACTATATCCTTTAGAATTAAAAGGAAACTCAATCGAAAGTAAATTGATTTCAATTGAAATCCGTACTATACCCTTTAGATTTAAAAGGAAACTCAATCGAAAGTAAATTGATTTCAATTGAGATTGAGATCCTTTCTTATCCTTTAGATTTGAAAGGAACATCAATTGAAAGTATTTAAATTGATTTCAATTGAAATCCTTGCTTATCCTTTAGATTTGAAAGGAAGATCAATTGAAAGTATATAATTAAATTGATTTCAATTGAAATCCTTAGTTATCCTTTAGATTTAAAAGGAACATCTCATGAATTCAAATTTTGGTTTTGCTGCTCATTATTTGGGAGTGAAAACGTTCTCTTGGATCGAGACCTTCTGGGGGTGAGGGTGGAGGAGTTTATTAATACGAACTTGGCCTTCCATGAGAGGCTGAACGTGATAAAACCATAATGTCTTACTAAAGAGATTCAATGCTAGAAGCTGGTACCCTCTGGTAAACTAACATAGCTATTGAAAACGGCAATTTATAGTGGATTTTCCCATTAAAAATGGTGATTTTCCAGAGTTATCTTTGTTTACCAGAGGGTCGGACAATGAAATGCAAATCTTGAGGAGTTGCATGGCTTTTGTTCCAGAGGTATCCCATTTGCTGCTGTTTGGCCATCATTTCACTCCAAATTGCAGGCCCAATGAGATCTCAATTCATAGCGGATTCCCCAAACGAACGTAGACCCAGAGAATCGATCTACTCTTTAGAGGAATGTTGTCGAAGCCAACGGCAGGTGGTATGGCGAAGAGATCTGACTCTCCTTTTCCAAGGCATATCAAGCCTAGAAAATCAGGCGAACAAAGCAGAAATTTCATTCCGAAAACAAACATGTGATCTCGAAATTGAGGCATTTAATATATATATATATATCATATAATTAAATGTATATGTAATCATATAATATATATATATATGATTATATATATATAATCATATATATATATATATGTAATCTTATACATATATGCACAGACACATATAGTATAGTTTTTTTGTTTTGGCCCCCATGTGACTGAAACACGAACATCTACAAGGCTGTTGGATGAGCGCGAATGCATCAAGATTGTGGACTTTGGTCTAAGCAACACCTTCCAGGACTGGGTCTGATGAATTCACAAAATTGGATAAGATTAGTTATGTTTAATCATATCCACGTGATATCTCTATCATTGATTACATCCACAGTTGTTTGATATGTTTAAATATGTTTAGTAGCAACCCCAAAAAAGATATTGACACGTATTTCCAGGAGGGTCTCCGTGTCTCCTTTTTTGCAGCCACCATGGCGTATTTTCCGGGCAGCCATGCCTATGACACCCTGTGGCTTGCCTTGCCATATCTAAAAAATCCTAAGGAGAAGTCACTTCCTTGAGTGGATGGAAATTATACACTGGGTTTACAGTTTACAGTATTTATCTAAAGGCAACATTCCCATATTCAGAAAATCTTCGCATACCATGTTTTCATCGTACTCCAGACCTGGGTTTTGGTATGTTACTTTGATAGGCATTTCAGCTCAATCTGGAGGGAACAGTTGGCCCACGGCGAATCCATTGAATGCCCCTCCACAGCTTTCTATCCCCTATGTCGTTCCAAAGGAGCTGTGGACGTTGAATGAATTGAAGGCTGCTTTGATAAGGAAGTTTCCTCATTTGTCTACAGAAGAAGGACAGGGTTGTCAAAGGTAACGTTTTTAAAGGTTGGCTAAGTAAAAATTAGCAAGTTTCTTCCCCGGGACCTCACCCAAGGTGAACTTGGAAAAATAGAACCCACTGGTGTGCCCCTGGAAGTTTGGGCCGGCTTTGGGATTGGATTTTTGGTTCTGGCCGCGAAATTTCCCTATGTGGTCTCTATACCAGCCACGCATACTCGGAATTCTTCGCATTCCACAAATTCTTCGCACTCCACATGGGACATCGCACTCCACAGCTAGGGACGCGCACATACTATAAAATCCACGCACTCTGCAAGATCTTCGCACTCCATAAAATCTTCGTACTCGGTAATTTTTCGTTTTTTTCGTTTTTTTTCTTTTTTTTTTTTTCGTTTTTTTTTTTTGGGCTAAAATCGCCTGGAATCACGTTTTCTGGAATATGGGAAAGGTAGCGGTTTTTCGTGAGACGTCTGTAGTTGCACATACTATCGCATTCCAGGCAATTTTGGCCAAAAAAAAAAAAGAAAAAATAAAAAAAAAGCTCAGCAGGGTGAAATGTGATAATTTTCTGGTATATGATGGAAAAAACTGGTGTTGGATTCATGGGGAAGGTCGAAGGGGGCCACGCATATTGTTTTATTTTCGCATTCCAGAAAATTAGCGCACTCCAGGGGTGGCATCGTACTCTATCGGTGGATTTTTTTTGCACGGAAGAAAACAGGATCGTCGATGATTTGTGTTCCCAGATCCTGTTGTGCAGAGCTCTTTGCGGGGCCACAAAGATGTCAAGAAAGATCGGGATGGCGCTGCTGATGAAAGGCCAGCCAAGCGTGCCAGAACATAAGCTTAAAGCTTATGAATTGGGTTTTGGGATCGTGAAAAGTGTAGATGACAAATTTCCATAAGAACATTATTAATCCATTTTTGGAAAGCTCAACATTTTTAATTATGACATTTCCAGAAATTGTTGAAAGTAAGGATCTTCTTTGGGGAAGAACATGTGCAGTCGACAACGTACGTGCCAGAAGAAAAGGAATACTTGGCAAACTGTATGAAATACAAATTTCACCTGAAAGGGGTCTTCGCAATTCCCTGAAATTTCCCAGCTATTTTGGCATGGAATATGTTCGGCCCTGGAATATGGGCAAGAAATTGCTAGAATTTATTGTAATCCATTATAATTATAATCTATTATAAATCCATATTATAATCCCCAAACATAAACAGATAGACAAATAATCTATCAAACTGTTCGTTGCAGATCTCTCCATGTTGCGGTTGCTATAGATGCCCCATACTTTAAGTGCCTTCAGTAGCTAATTTGGGGACTATGGCAACAACCCAAGAGTCGATATTGCAGGCTTGTGGAGGATGTTGGAACATGGAACCCGGGAATGACAAAGCATCCGGGAGCTTGAAAAAGGTCATGAACTTTCTGTAATTTGAAGTAATTTGAAGTTCATGGTACTCATTGTGATTTGAAGTCATTTGAAGTTGATGAAAATGGTAAAACATGGCAGTTTACCCACAGAGTCGTCATACTTAAAGTTCTCCTAGAACGAGTTTCGTAGAGGTGTCCGGTGTCTTTTGACAACGCGTTGTAGGATGGGCAGTTGTTGCAAACCGCCTGTGGTTCTCCATGTCCGGGCACCTGACGTGGCAATCTTTGGGGAAGATGGGCGAACACCGTATTGTTTAGGCCAGATTTTCTGCAGAATGAAGTTCGTGTGATTTTTTTAATTTTCATGTTTGTTCAATTGTTGCCAATATTTTATGATGTATATGTATACGTATACCTATTATATCTTCTATATAGGATCAATGATACGTTGATTGTTTCTGTAGTTGAAACAATATATCCATATGGAAAAAAGGGTTATGTTGATTTATGTGAAACACGCATTCGAACATTTCAATGTTTCAAAGACGTGGCCATATACTGCACTCTGTACTTTCTTTCACATTGCTCACGTGGCTCTATTTAGATGTATATGTATACATACATTTTTATATAGATGCATAATTACATGCATCAGCATATATGCACAATTGTCATGTCATACCTTCTATAGATTGTGATTTTGTGGCATTAGCAGCACTGGTATGGGACATACGACCATCAATTGTGGACCTCAGAATGGCGGTTGTAAAGCGACGATGTCCACAGAAAGGCCAAAAACTTCACGTCTTGACCAGAACTGGCGAACGCGATGTGTCAAAACCTACATCAACATTAACATTTCTTTGGGAGGGGACGAACATCCGTTTGCCATCGATTTTGGTGTTCAGGGTACCACGCTTTTGACCCATAGCCACTTGACGTAACCGGAAATCAGATTCATTAAAACCCAAAGATTTGGCTTATGAGTCCAGAGTTTCCTGTACAGGTTCCCTTCCATGTAAAATCTTCGATGTTTGACCTGATTGATGTGTTCTGAATCCTCTTTAGCCTTGGCCTTGAAGCCAGCCCTGGCTAATATCACCATGGATGGGGGTCTAAGAAGCAAAAAATGTCCTCAAGATCAATAGTTCGTACCCTCTGGTAAATTGTTACAGTTTGCTATTGAACATGGCCCATTTAGTTCGTTGATTTACCGAACTTAAAAATGATGATTTTCCACAACAAACTATTTTATAGTTTACCAGGTTGGGTAATGCAGTTTTTTCAGATCTGAAACTGCTCAACATACAGCTCTGCTTCAGGGTAGGACCCCCAAGCTGAGATTGCCTGGCAGGACCCTGAAAAAGGTGATCCAGGAGAGACTCCCCCCTTGTAGCATCCTTTTTCACAGCCCAAAAACCATGCGAACCACGCTGACGAAATTGGGGGATACAAGGGTGAGATCCTTTGGATATTCAACCTTACCAAGAAAGGTGTAATTAGAAATAAAGGCTCCGCAAAATGAGGTGTATAGGTGTATGGTTTTTCTCGGTTTTACCACGGAGTTTGTTTGAACATAGGGACCTACAATTTATTGGTCTGTCAGTTTGTTCCACTTAAATACATATTTGGACACCCATATTCATTATTCAGTGCTAAAATCCCTACACTCTGTTGGTTACATGTCCATTTGCTTTGATAAAATCACTCATATTCGATGAGCAAATATGTTTCATCCACCGTAGGCTACGCCGCACCAGAGATGATTGCGGGGAACCAGTGCGCAGTGGAAGACATGGAAGACTGGAACCGGGGAACCAGTTCAACAGTTGAGGCGGTTCAAGCTCTTGAACAAATGTGGGTTTCCACCAATGGGGTACCCCAACAGCATCCAATAGCTGGATGGTTTATAATGGAAAATCCTATTAAAAATGGATGATTTGGGGGTACCCCCTTTTAGGAAACCTCTATATATCACTTTCATGGGGTATATTTCACCTCCAAGATTGGTGATAGTGATCTGTCATGGGATATGTTGTGGGATATGTGAGGGATATAGATAGATATGTAGTGCTCAAATATTGCCATAGGAGTCAGGTACTGCCAGTGTTTAAGTAAGCCCTAACATTTCATAACATTTCTGGGTATAGTTCATGGCTTATAAACCTACTTGCTAACAAGGCAGTCCCATGGCGTTTTCCGGTAGGTTATTTTACCATTGCTGAAGTATATTGCCAGGCTAAGAGCTTGGTAATGAAACCCATTTTAGTCTCACGGCTCTGATCATGACCATTTGGTTCCATGAATATTTCATGTAGATCGATGACACCAACATACTTTATGTATACAGTACAGGTCAGTACAGTACATACTATGACATAGAAACATGCATCCCGCATTTCTTAAAAAAAACATTCTTAGCCCATGGAAACATTTGGCTGCTTGGTGGTTTCAAACATTTTTTATTGTTCATAGATTTTCATAGTATATGGGTTGTCGTCCTTCCCATTGACGAACTCCATCATTTTTCAAGATGGTTATTGCCCTACCAACCAGATTATATATTACCATGGTAATGAAACATCTGAATAATTATAATAATATGTAATATGTAATATATGGAATATGGTAATATGTAATCTAGATTACCATAATATGGTTATGAAACCACCAACCAGTCATTTATGATCAGTTTAGATCGTTTTTTTGGTCGCGGATTGCAGGTACTTCCCGCCCATGGTGGACGTGTGGAGCTGTGGAGTGATCCTCTTCGCGCTGGTCTGCGGATTCCTCCCTTTCGAGGCACCGACGGGCGCCGGTGGCGGTGGGGGTCCGGGGTTACCCAACCTGGTAAACGTACACAAAACTATGGAAAATCACCATAAAATCACCATAAAATCAATGGGTAAATCCACTATGTCGACTGGGCCATGGCTTCAATAGCTATGTAAGAAATTAGCAGAGGGTAGAGTCCATGGCTCATTGCTATAGGGTTTCTAGGCGCTAGCTGATTGGTGGTGACTGGAACATGGCTGGATTATGACTTTCCATTCAGTTGGGAATGGAATGTCATCATCCCAACTGACGAAGTCCATCATTTTTCAGAGGGGTAGATATACCACCAACCAGATGGTGTTTTTGTTGAACTTACCCGGCCTGGTTATGACTAACATAGCCATGGAAATGGCCCATAGAAATAGATGGTTTACCTATTACAAATGATGATTTCCATGGCTATGTGAGTCATAACCAGATGGTATATATACATATATAAATCATTATAAACCACCTATTACAAATGGTTGAAACCACCAAGCAGATAGGCTTTCGCTAGCGCTAGCATCTCCTAGCCTCTGATCTTTAGAGGACCAGAACCATTCGGAGCTCTACAAGAAGATCTTGAACGCCGAGTGGCTTGTCCTCGCTTCCTGACGCGTTCCCTGAGGCGTTTCCTTATGTTTTTTATCATAAGTTGGTGCAGTTATGGCCCTTTACCAGTTAGAAGTACTTATAACATATTATAAGCCCATCTATGGCATGTATAATCCCATAGAAATAACCAGTTATAACTAATACATGACCATAACTGTGAGTAATTCTGTTCCATTTCTCCTAGAGCTGTTTTAAGGGAAGAAAATATATTAAAACATTGTTTGCCCATGTTTGCTCCATGTTTGGTGGTACAAGAAGACAAGGTTCCTTGTAAATGTTCCCTTCAATCCATTGACACAGATGTTTGAAACTTTCCCAACAAGTTCTAATCCATTTGTTGTATTTTTCTTGATCTATGTATGGACCAATGGGTTCGTTTAAGAATAGGGTACCCTATTACATCATCTTCCATCCACTTGAAATCCTCATGTTCCCTTTTACAATGGACAGAACGCCGTACAACTGGCGTGAAAAAATCCTCCATTTTCAGACACACCCATCTTCACTATTCATTGGCTAAATATGGTTAAATCTCCATTTTGGTTGGTTAAATTTCTTTAGATGATGTTTTATTTTGTCTCATGCTATGAATCCCAAAGTGAGTAGTTTCCCCTGTTGTTCACCAGATGTTTCAGATGTTCCAATCACTTTTGGACCATGTCATTAACCCAGAGGATCCATGGTGCTGGAATATTTACTTACATTGACCCCTAAAGTAATTTAAAATAATCCCAATGTAGGTAAATATTCCAGCACCATGGATCCTTAGGGTAATGAAACTCCAATCGTGTCTTGACCAAGCGGAGTCTCAAGGTACGAAGTGCCCAACTTTATCAGCAAAGAGGTACAGCTGTGCCAGTTTGATTGGCTAAGTGGGAACCGTTTCTCCAGGGTTGATATTTGATTAATGATGGTTATTATATGGTTAACTGGTTGGTGGTTTCAAACATTTTGTATTTTTCCATATATTGGGAATAATCATCCCAACTAACTAATATTTTTCAAGATGGTTAAAACCACCAACCAGTTACAGTAATATATGGTTATTTTTTTTGGGATCATTTCATGGGATATACCATTTTTATACTGGTTAATGATGGTTAATGGTTAATAATCACTGATTGCTGGTGACTGGAACCATGGAATTTTATGACTTTCCATTCACTTAAGAATTTCATAATCCCAACTGACGAGCTCCATCATTTTTCAGAGGGGTAGGTATAGTAGGTATACCAACAACCAGTTTTACACGACACCCCCATATGTCATGTAGATTTCCCCCCAAACCAATCGATGGATATCGATGGTGCATATGGTTTCATAGACTTAATAAATGAAACCGGAAATGATTTGCAAAATCTATAGTGGTTTCCTGTTGCTTTTCCCCCTAAACCAATCAAAGCGTGACAAGTGCGTGAAAAGTGCGTGAAAAGTGCGTGAAAAGTGCGTGAAAAGTGCGTGAAAAGTGCGTGAAAAGTGCGTGAAAAAGACAGTCAAGAACCCGTGAACACCATCACAAGACTGCGGGTGTGTGAGACTCACATGATGGTTTGACTCAAGTCTTCGCAAAAAAAAAACAAATTTCTGGTGTGACACTTTGCGCATGGATGCAATCTTGAGGGTTCAGGAATGAGAAGCGAAAGGAAATCTAACTTTTTGGAGCCCCTCAAGTCCTCAAGGGAGAAGCGCTGCTTCTGCATTCTTGAAGAAGTTGATCAAAGATTCTGCTTCTATTCTTTGTTTGGTGGTTTGGAACATGGTTTTTATGACTTTCCATATATTGGGAACAATCATCCCAACTGACTTTCATAGTTTTCAGAGGGGTTGAAACCACCAACCAGATTCTTTGGAAGGTAATTGTGATGTGTTGCGATACGCAATGAGATGATGAGGTTCAGGAAAGACATTATACGAACCACAACAGACCAAACCTTGTGGTTGGAAGGTTAGGGTGCAACTTGACCGGGAATGGTACTGTATCTGGATGGAATGTCTAGACATACATCATATACAGTAGATCTTTGATTTTTTCTTGAAGGTTGGGATACAATGTCTAAAACCCACTGTTCCCGAGTTGCACATCATTTCTGATGAAAAACTTGGCGACCAAACAGTGGACCCAGCTCCAGAAATGATAGGAATCGTGAGGACTCGTCCCCGAAAATGGCGTTTTGGGGTTTTGGGGATTATGGTACTTTGCTCAGTATCTCGAAAGTAGTTCCAAAGGCTTTGGTTCCTTCCATTTCACTTCAAGTTAGAGATGGTACTGGAAAGAAGATCCCATTTTTTCTGGTTGATTCTATTGCTGCAGGGCAGTTCAAAAAGAGTTTGCGCCCAACACAATGTGGGGACCCCAAATGATAGTTAAGTTGGTGAACATAACTCCATTAATTATGCTTTGTGATACTTATGACATCTTATGACTATACCCATAGGATCCATGTGTGCTATATATGGTAATATTTACCATCCATATACCCCATTCATGTTAGCATATATACCAGCACCATGGATCCTATGGGATATTTAGTGGGCTTTATAAACCAACATCACTGGGGGCCGTGCAAAGAACCCAATCTGAACGGATCAGGTGGCAGGTTTGATCGCCGGGATGCTCACCACGGTGCCTTGACGGTTCGTCGTGGCTTTCATGGCGGGGGTCGTCGTCTGAAAATGGGTGGTATACCATCTGGAACATGGAACAAACCATCTGGAAACAAGATATGGAAACAAGATATGGAAAACATATGGAACATGTTCCATCATATGTTTTTCTCCCCAAATGTTACCCTTTTTTATAGGGAACATGATGGAACATGATGGAAAAAACCATATGGTTGTCAGAGAAAACTACCCAGTTTTTCAAGTTTTGAAGGTCTTTGAAGATGTGGATCCACACTGGAATATGATTGATTGGGATGTAAAGGTGGATTCATGATAGAATTGGTATTTTATAGGGATACAACCAACCACTTACATCCAATTTGGGCATTTATTAATAGGATATGGTCATCTCACCAAAATTGAGAACTCCAATAATCATGGGATATGGTCATCTCTATATTCATATGGGCATGTCCATCCCGCTTTGTGGGAAAATAACCAATGTTTGACTATGGCCCATACCCTCCGGTAAACGTCTACATAACTATGGAAATTCACCATGCTATTAATGGGAAAATCAACTGTACATGGCAATTTTCAATAGCTATGTTAAATTACCAGAGGGTATATTCCATGGGTATACATTCGAGAGCTTTTGTTGATAGAAGGATTACAGTATGTTGTTAGCAACCAAGAGGTACATAGATGGAGTGGCATACCAGACCGGCCTAAGACTATGTTAGTCAGAAGGCTATCCGTGGCAAAAGCAACATTTTCTGAAACTCTTTTGATCCTTAAATCCCTTCATTTGGATGGTTACCTTTTGATTATTTCAGGGTTTGCTATGGGAAATCACCATTGTTAATAGGTAACGCATATATTTATATGTTCCGCAAAACTGTTTTAGATCGAATAGCCAGAGGCGAAATTCCCAGAATTTGGGATACATTGCCTGTTGTGAACCCCCAACGCCAACGTTTGTGATGCCAGCGTATCTCAGGACCCCGCGGCGCGGATGACCCTGGAGGATATCCGTAAGCACGTTTGGTGCCAACCTGGGCGGAGAGATGGGTGCTGCCCATGATGTTTAGGATTTTTCGGGAATCATCCCCATCTGACATCCAGACTTAAACCCTCCGTTTCTAGCCTTAAAGATTATATTTTACCAGCTTTTACCCTTACTGATTGGTGGTTTGGAACATGAATTTTATGACTTTCCATTCAGTTGGGAATTTAACATCATCCCAACTGACTTTCACTCCATCATTTTTCAGAGGGGTAGGTATACCAACCACCAACCAGCTTATGATCATCAGTATATAACCATAACCATATATTGTCCATTATTAACAGTATATTAACCACATATTGACCAGCTTATGATGTTCGGAGCTTTTCGCATTTTTGGGCGCTACGAACCCCATGTCAATTTTGATCATTTTTCATCCATCCCCGGGCAGATGAATCATGAGGAATCATTCGAAGAAAACGTGGGAAGCCATCATAATCATAGATTATTTATGATATATTCTAATCGAATGGTTATTATATTCATCATATATCATAATCATAAGATAGACACATATATTATTATTATTTGCCGACAGGATCATATATTATATATATTATATAGATTTATATAGCTATATTATAAAATTATGATATAATAATCATAAGATTATAATCGCTATAGAGTTCTTGGATTCTTTTGGGGTTGGTGTTCCTATAGCCACGGCCCCCGTGGTGTCGCGCCGGATCCGGCTGGCTATTTTTTTTGGCCAATGCGAGAGATAATCTGACCTGGTGTCCTGAAATGTCAGCCCTTGGTTTTATATGTACCATATGGTTATTTAAATTATTTAGCCATGGAAAAATCCACCATTTTTAAGTTCGGTAAACCATCTATTTCTATGGGCCATTTCCCATGGCGAACTGTTAGTCATAACCAGAGGGTAAATCATCTAGTGTACAACTTGGGTATTTTTTCCTATTCTCCCGGCTGCCAGATGTTGGAGATGTCGACTCCACTCAAGCAAACCGGGGGGACGCCATGAAGCTTCACCCTGATTTGCTGGCCGCAGATCTGAACGTACACTTCAAAAAGAAAAGCACTAAATGAAAGTACCCAATCTGATGGGTATCTTAGCAATGTTGGGGTCGATGGATCTCTTGGGAGATCGACTCCAATCCAACTGCGTTCAAGTTCGAGCCACAGGCTGGTGTCGAAGTGTGGCAGAGCCCTGCCACCTTCCAGCTTTGAAGCTGGCAACATCGCCAAGACCGCCTTGGGGCAAGGATGGTGACTCAGCGGTATGGGGGCGCAACATCGACTTGCACCGGGAGGCATTTCTCTTTGGGAGGCAATGGAAAATACCCGAGTTCTTGGTTGACATATTGACCCCTTCGCAACAAGGCAACAAGTGCGGCAGGTCTTCGACCTGCCCAATTCGGATTTTATGACAGAATCAAGTGCCACGAAATCCAATATTTACAATTTATAATATATGTATCTATCCTCTTCCAACGAAATCCTCGTTTCAAAACCCATTATCATGATTTGTTATGCTGTTTTCTCCTTGAATCAGGCACCATGTGCTCCGTTTCAAAAGTTGAATCATGTTTTGAATTGTCCGTTGTGCAGTTTGATCGCGGGTTACTGTCCACCATTTGTTCCAGCAGTATCTGTTTTCGGTTAAGACCTAGTTGATCCAATTTGTGTGGCTGGATCTCCAATTATGTTTGCATCTGTGTCGCGTGTTTCAACCCAAATTGGCCTTTAAATTGTTTTTTTCATGTGTCGCCTTTCATTTGGTAAACAGATTCATACAAAACTTCTATTTAAATGTTGCCAATTAAATCCAATTAATAGACAGCTAACTGGCTAGTAAGTGGCGTGCAACCATTCCCAGCTGGAATGTATTTGGATATGTTTGGATATATCTTGTAAACTGTTACAGTTTGCGAACTGGCAAATCACCTAAATTAAGTTCGGTAAATCAACTATTTAACTATGTGCCATGGCTTCAATAGCAAACTGCAACAAATTACCAGGCCGGGTAACCAGCCACTTTTCCACTCTAAACCATCCATTTTGGTTTGATGTTCCCTAATAGAATCCATTCACCCGAAGAATCTGGGCTAGTTTTTAATGTGTTACAGTAATTATTTCGGGGAGTCTTAGGAATAGGGAGAAGGGATTAGTATTTATATGATTTTATGTGTATATATATGTATATATATATATATATATTATATATATATAGAGTATATATATATATATATATAGTAGGATTTTCCCATCAATCGTCCTGGGTCCGCCATGGTCCCAGCGAGGTACCAGCAGATTCCCGAGGCGAGTTTGAAGGATCGCGAGGACGACCAGCTGGACGAGGTCCGTGCGGATGATCAGGGGATTCGCCCAGAAAACTGGATGAACATGGCATGATTTGGGGATGGAAAATCCATCATTTTCCCATGGAAATCTGGGGATATGGCATGATTCTTATCATGGATGAAACATTGTAATTTGGGGGATATCATGATTAGAATCTTACTGGGTTTATTGTGTTAGTTAAGTCTTATGGTTGATATATCCTTCGGTAATCAGTCACACGGCTGGAACATCCAGCATTGAGTTTGATGATGTTTCCATCAAAACCTCCATATTTTGGTTGAAGATTTCCCAGCCAGCCACGTGTTACTATCAGATGGTATATTTGTCTGGTTGGTGGTTTGGAACATTTTTGATTTTTCCATATATTGGGAATAATCATCCCAACTGACTTTCACTCCATCATTTTTCAGAGGGGTAGGGCGAAAAACCACCAACCAGGTATAGTTGTGGAATTTTGTGGATATCATGAAGAATCTCACTGGATTCCATGGCAACTTTTTGTTGGGAAGTTAAGTGGACAAGTCTTCCTTGCGGTGGAGAACATATGTGCCATGGTCATTCCATGTGTCATTTTCCCATCGGGATGGCCATGGTCAAGTTGTATCACTACAGGATGGGGAAAACCAGTGATGTGAACGTTGGTTTATAAACCATGAAATAATCCCCACTAACTATATATATAAGTATATCTACCATAAACCATTGTTAAGCTGTTAAGCCACTTATAAACCAACTGAACGCTATCGACTGGGGGCCCCATCCTGTAGGGGTTAGCCAGTTAGGGTTTTCCATAGTCATAGTACCCCTAAAGGTTGGATGGTTTATCATGGAAAATCCCAATCTATAAATGGATGATAACTAGGGGTACCCCGATGACTTGGGAAACCTCCATATGGCTAGATCATGTTATATAATATGCCATTACATTGTAACGAATCCCTACTCCTACTGACCATACCCCCCATAGGCCGTGTTTTGATGGGGCAACCGACTGGCAGAGCTTGCTTTAGTACAATAGCCAATCTTTTGCCATGAAAGGTCTGCCATGTGCATCTGGGAAGAGGTTTCATGTTACAGGTACTGGCTCATCACTATCTCATACCTTTGAACCGTCTGCGAGCCGGAGTTGCTATCTGTGAACCGCCAAAGCCTTTGACTGCTTGTAGCACAGTGATTTCCTGCTGAAGCTGAAGCAGTCGGCCCATGGCTCAACGCTCTGTCAACGGCTGGAAGAGTTTGGAAGCGGCTTTGAGGAGTGCCCTCCGTGCGATAATTTCTCCGCCCCGCCCCAGTGACCAAGGCGGACATTTCGTTGACTTTCGTTGTGTCATCCACAACAACCATATGTGCCATGTGCCACGGGAATCCCAACAAAATGGGCCGATCATGGCCATGATGCGCCCGGATTCGAGGGAATGGATGACCAGACCCCAAAAGAACAGTGGACCATGGTAACCATGGTACATGTATCCCTGTGTATATCAAATTACACAGTATACATTCCCATGATATGTCCATTCAATCACCATTTTGGTTCCCTCCGTTTCGAAGTAGAGATCTACGGCCCCGGGATTTTGCGATGAATTAGGCTATAAGCAAGTTACAACCCATTCACGATTGTGTTTATCTACAATAACTGTTGAGTTCACTATTTATAATTGGATATTTATTATTAAATTTATCTATAGATACCCAAATAGTATATTTATAATATCTCAAATTCACCATCATCCAGTGGCTGATATCCCCCTTTTTTTTACTTCAAAGCCCTTTTCTGGTTGGGCTCATTAATTAGTCTATCCAAGCAAAAAAGAAAAACTCATTTAGTTCATTACTTTATCATGTTATCCTTGTTCTCCCATACAGGCATCATTGTATGAGATAGTTTATCATATTATTCTGTTCTCATGTTTTATCCTTTTTCATTAGTTTATGATATGATTGTAAATGACGTATATGAAAAACTGATAAAAGTAGAGAACAGGATAAACCAGTGAAAAATAAGCTGGTCATGTTAAACTAGTATAACAATAAATAAGTGAACATTACCCTCTTGGTAATTTAACATAGCTATTGAAAATTGCCATTTATAGTGAGTTTGCCCATTCAAAATTGCAATTTTTAATAGCTATCTTAGTTTACCAGAGGGTATGGTCATTTTTACAGGATTATCTTCACTACTATCCTCTGGTAAACGTTTACATAACTATTGAAAAACACCACTTTTGATAGGTGAAACAACTATAACTAGGACATTTCCCATAAATTAACCATAAATTAACCATAGATTAACCATAGATTAACCATAGATTAACCATAGATTAACCATAAAGATAGTTTATGTGTTTCGTGTTTTCACGTCTTCCCCGGGCTCCCGAGCGATCCTTCCGCATCTGGCAGGCCATTCTTGATCAGCTCGACAGCTACGGCTTCCCACGCGAGTGCCGAGTCAACATGACGCAACGTCCAAAAAATGGGGCAATTCCCCACAATGGTTGTTAATGGGTTATGAATGGGAGCATATGGGAACATAGTGGGATGTAGAAAAGCAACTAAAAAAATGATATTTTGATATTTTATGGGTCTATTTATTGGGATGGGATGGTGAGTTGTTTATCGATTTACAAATCAAGTCGTGATATCTAGATGTGTGTCTCAAAATATAGAGGATCATCGATGGATATCACTGATATCACGGGGAGAGGGACTGTCTGGTCACAGAAAAAGCTATTGATTCAATGGCCCATAGAAATAGTGGATTTATCCATTAAAAATTGGACGATTTTCCAGTTCGTTATATATATAAAGGTTTACCAGAGGGTATCATAGCGATACAATGGGTATATCATAGGCTTATCGTTGGATAATAGGCCTAAAGGCATGGATATTTCATCCCAAGTCATGGAAGAGCAACCTACGACTTGTTGCAACGGTTGGTTGCAATGTGGGGTCCCCCCGTGATGTTTGTTGGTTTATAACTTTATAGCCTCTATGAACTATACAGTTTGCCATAAACAATACTGAATCTAGTTGTAAAATGTTGTAAAGCAACTGAAAGCTTTCTAGGGTGCAGCAGCTTGTGTGGAAAATGGTCGCGTTTAACAGCCACACCGTCTTTAAACGGACCATTGTCCAGATTTTCCATAGCAAACTGTCAGTTAAACGGGATGAAGTAATCTTACGTGAGAACCCCTATCAACCAGCCAGTGGGCGGGCGGGCATTTGGGCACTGCTCGCAATGGTCGGGATTTCGACTGTGCAAAAGAAACATATTTGAAGTGTTCGAGTCAGGGCTTGAAGCTGCATACATCCATACTGTGAATCACCCCTCCAAAAATCAGTTCAACGTAGTTAGACATAGTTCAACCTGTGTTGTTCCCTACTTAAAATTCGAAGATGATTTGAAGCACAGCTAACACAGCTGGTTTCCCACTGGTTTCCCACTTGGATCCCCTATTCAGCACAACCGAAGACCCCGGAGGTACGCCATGAAGTGCTTGCAGAACAACAAGCACAACCACGTGACCACGACGTGCCCATAGGGATCCCTCGTTGGTACTTGCATCAGAGGGAATGGCCACATGTAGGGATTTTGATGGACCCAGTATTTTTGGATTGCCATTGTGGATGACCATACCACGATTGTTCTATGATAATTAACCAAAGACAATTGTATATGGTTAATTTTCATAGATGAATCGCATATATCATTGACCATGACACATGATTTTAGTGTAATAAAGACACATAGCTAATGGATGCTAATGGCTAATAATGAACACTGGTTGCTGTGGTTATGGCTGGGTAAGTCCACAATTTGGCTCGGTTGTGATTGCTTGTGAACCAGCCAGTTTGTGAGTAGGATGGACAGCTACTTTGTGTTGCACGATGGATTTTTCTTTAATGATTAATCTGAGTCTGAGAACGAGGTTTACCCTCAACAACGGCATTCATACAATTATCAGATGAACCAAAGTGGATACATTTTATTCAAGATTCTAGAGATTAACCATCCAATTGAATTAACCATAATTAATAATTAACCATACAATTAATGAGATGAACCATGATTAACCAGATTGACAAAGTGGATTAACCATGATCAACCATGATTAACCATGATTAACCATGATTAACCATACAATTAATCAGATGAACCATGATTAACCATGATTAAGCATGACTATCAGATGATTATCAGATTATTCTAGAGATTAAGCAGACATATTTGGACAGTGGATTCTTGGATCTCGGATTTCCAGGCGCAGCCAAAGGCTGGTCTTCTGGGTGGAAACTCACCTTTGTTCACTCACCTTAAGTTGACCCCAATTGGAGTTGAACACAAACCTTTAAAAACTTTTTTACAATCAGAAACTCGGGAACTCCTGGATTTTTCTGACATTTCAGATGGGAAAAAAGCGCCCAAGTCAAGTGCTTTGTCAGTGCTGCATTGTTTCTTTGGCGCCCCGCGAAAGGTACTACCTCATTAAAGAAAAGCAATTGCGATCCGAAGATCTAGGCAAAAATCGCTGCGGTTTAAATCTGGCAGCTTGACATATGGCTTTGTCTGACAATAGGTTGTATCTCTAAAATGGTATTTTTCTAATGGAGAACATTACAACATTGTAGTCAACCATCAAATTTGGGAGTACCCGGGGTACCCTATTCTCAGACAAACCCATACGTGACTGGTGGAAATTTAGTATCAGCTGTGGCTTTGCAACGCAAGTCTTGAGTGCGGAGACCGGAATACTGACGGGTTTGGTGCCTACATTGACACTTCTGAAGGAAATGCTGAAATGCAAGTTGTTGATAAATGATGTGTTTTAGTATGTTTTGCATTGCATACTATTTCAATCACTCACTAGTGGTTTGCTCATCTGCAAAGTTGGGCATAGAGAAGTAGTGGCAGGGTAATATGTTTCTGCTGATATTGTGTATTCGCACAGCGCAAATTGATGCAAATTGCTGATGGAATATACATACCAATTCGACATGGTTCTATTGCATCGTTTTCCCCGTTGTATCGTTTGTTTTTTTGGCCAGGCCAGAGTAAGTTCACAACAATGGACTAGACCAGTCCATTTGTGTTGCAGGATTTTCCATCGGTCGCATTTTTGGTCATTTCATATGGTTCCGTTCCTCACTTTCTGGCCGCCAGATTTGGCCATATCGTTACTTCTACCCCTATGATATCCGCATGATATCCGCTCTTCATTGATGAAATCTACGTTTTTGTGATGTTTGTTAAAATGCTTACAGTAATCCACAAAAAGAGCCAAAAAGTACTGTATTTCCATGACGGTAGTTTGATGATACCATATTTTTCCAGTTGTCCAACTTGTTGGCATCTTTTTCGGGGTTGCTATAGTTGTTTGAATCAGTTAAATCCCGATATACCATGTTTGGTTGGTTCAAACTTCCATGATAATCATGATACTCGCAAAATTTGGTTGGTGTTGTATCACCTGTCCAACTTGTCTTTTCATTTCCAGGTAATAAAACATGTTTGCGGCCTGGTATAACAGCGCAGGTGTAGTGGAACATTTCCAGGGACATGTGGTTCCAACTTTTCCAGACTTCCAACATGTTCAAATCCCTTCCTAATAATAAACACCCCCTAAACAAAACCATGGAAATTCCATCTGGTTGGTGGTTTGGCACATTTTTTTCCATAATATATGGGATAATCCTTCCCATCGACTTTCATATTTCTCAAGATGGTTATTGCACCACCAACCAGTAAATAGTCATAAACATATATATTAACAGATAAAAAACAGTATTTTTTTCTCGTTGGGATGATGATCCAATCTGACTTTCATATGTTATTTAGGGATATTTAGGGGCTTTGAACCCACCAATTCCATATAATTGGGACCATTTAAGGGGTGTTTTTAATGGGGGGACGGGATTCTCCGGTGAGGCATGGCGACCCGGCGCCAGATTGCGGACATCGATGCCACCTGCTTTGAGGTGGGTGTCACTTTCGTATGTGTCATAAATTCATGTATGTAATACCTATTATATTATATAATACTGACGATATATTCAAGTGAACAGCAATTTAACAATATATATATACTAAATATGTATATAATATATACTAAATATGTATATAATATATGTAAATATATATGTAATATATTATGTATATAATATATGTAATAATATGTATACATATACATGATATGTGGATTAGATGTTCAGTGAATTTGGTTCTCGTGGTAATGAGTTCTACATGGCCACAAAAAGTTTGTAGTGAAGGTGGGTGAGGGGGCTATTTCCAAGGTGTCAATGGTAAGGGGTGGTTGAATGGCTTGATGTGTTGCCATTGATGGTACAAGACATATTTACATGTATTATATGTTTAAGTACTTATATATAATATATACCATCTGCTTATTTAACATAGCTATGGACAATGGCCCATTTATAGATGATGTATGATGAATTAGCATTATTTACCTGTTAAAAATTGCGATTTTCCATAGCTACGTTAAATTACCAGAGGGTATATATATATATATGGGGATGGATCGAAACCCGTTAAACCACAATATTGGGGGTAATCAACATCCATTCTCCATCTATTTCAGGGTACCTGGAGTACCAGGGTCTTGACCCACGACCCATTTGGCCCCTGATTTGGAGGCACTGACTCATAAAATGGATGGGTCGCATCCAACATAGAGATCATTTCGGTTCCATATCCATGTATATGTATATCTCAATCACGATGGTTTTTATCTCAATCACGGGTAAACACGATGTTTATAGTTAAACCCTAGAAAAATGTAGGGTTCGGTTGCTAAGGGTATATATATATACATAGACTTGCACGAGTTGTTTCTCCCTGTCATGTCAAACAGATGATGCAGGAACAGACTCTTAATCTATTACTGCCAGCTGGATTCAACTCTCCAGAATCTATCGAAGAATGCAGATCTTTGACTTACTGGTGCTTAGTACGGAATGAGGGAATGATCCACAATAACTATCAATAATCATCCCATTCCCCCATTCCCTACTAAGCACCAGTAAGTTGATCTTGAGAAAGCCAAGCTGTAGAAGCTGCCACTTTTCGTAGCCGCGCTTACTGGTCGTGGACCGTTCGAGCGGACGACCGGGCAAAACCGGCAGGCTGCGAAGCATTCGCAGCCTGCATTGAGAAGCGTTGTTTCAGGTATTTCTTGACCCCCAACAAGGTGGATGATCATCCTAAGTTCATGCTCAGATCCTCAAGGTGTTCATGATCATGTCAACACTGGATGAAGAGTTTCCTGGGCTGCTGAATTGGGTGGGTGATTTTAGCTTTACATGGTGCTTGACATGGTTTCACTGTTTTAAGGTTGCCCCTAAATAGCCCTAAATTATAAAATCAACTCGTGTGTGTGTGTGTTTTAATCATTTTTAATCCGGAGTCCTAGAAATGAACCCCAAAGTTTTTTCGTATGGATATTCATGCGGTAAGCCCCAAGAATACACCTCCAAATTCAGAGGGCTCACTGATGCCATTTGGATCAGCGGAACATCCACCATGATGCCACGAGTCTAAACATATCATCCTCAAAAATAAACCTAACAAATAATTAGTCACTTGAACCTTTATATATATATATACATATATATATACATATATATATATAAATATATATATATATATATCAAAGTGGTCTGAACTCGCTGGGTGAAGTAGCAATGGTTGCCCAAGAGGAAGACTGGAGGAAACTATGGCTGAAGGCCCCACACAAGATACGGCACAGCGGTATCTACCCAAGGCGCAGCCTCTTTTTCCTTGACCAATCTCAAACTGCGGTGCATGGCAGGGTTCTGCGCATGTGAGCTCAAGTGTTCTTCACTTGCATCCCCACAACTTCCTCCTCTAAAAAGTTTCACATGTCACATGAAAAACAACAGAGGGAAAACAAAAGAAACCACAAACAAGGACAAGGGAATCACAAACACTCCTTGGTTTCAACAGTTTCTTGGGTTTGCTTGTTTTGTGGTTGCTGCTGCAGAGCTCCAAGACCGTGTTGACGTCTTTTCCGAGCCGACATCATGTTGTCATCGGACACAAGTCTCCATTTGAAGTTCAGGTTGTAGAACAACTGCATTTCCTTAGAATTTCCCTTAGTGAGCGAGTTTCCAAGCTGTGCTTCACTGTGGACCCAACGCAAAATTAAACCAGTGTTTCGTTGTGACTGTTTCAAACACAACAACTCCAAATCCACTTTCTTTTCGGCACCACGTATGCTCATCTCAGCTGTTTGCAACTTGTCGTATACGTTTCGACTGTCGGAAATCAAACAACCAGGAACCGTCTTAACCACCGAATCAACATCAAAAATATCCACTTCTCTATTTAAAAGTTCACCCCATTGAAATCTCGCATGGTACATGTAGTCTTCACCTGCGACTGCTGCTCTTCCTTCGGCAGCGCCTGGACTTTTACATTGTTTCTCAATTTTATTGGAGTGCCATGAGATGGGTATGACCTTTGACACCTCACCTTCCAAAAGGTTCATGGGACCTAGACCTACTAGGATTCCTTGAGTGCGGCTGCCGTCTTTTCTATTTTGCCCTGCTGCGTCGCACCAAGTAAAGAAACCTATAGGCACATGTGGTGGAATCGCATGGATGACCATTTTATGGTCTTTCCGGGACTTGGCAAAATGTACCAATTTGTTGTTTCGGTGGATCACCTCGACTGAACTGGTGGCTACTTCTGACAAAAGAAGGCTAACCTCTGCGGATATGTGTGGCGCTGTTTGTTGCGCAAACCAACTCAAAGCTCCCAGTGTGGCACGAAGCATTGTCTTCTCTCGGTCAGTGGTTGGTTGATCGTGCTCTTTCTTCCTGCTGGCATTCAGATAGATCTCAGGGATCTTCTCCACGTATTCGGGCTGGCTCAGGTGATATGAACCATCAGGTTGCACTTCTACCTTGACGCCGCACTGTACAAAACTATTTTGCTCCCAGTCAGTCCATTTGAAATGATCCCGAATTTTTGTTGTCAAAGCTACCCATTCTGGATCGTCTTTGGATCCTGCGAAAAGAAAATCATCAACATGACCTGAGATGAGTCCCTTTAGTACTCCCCCAGGTTTCCACATCCAACAACATGGATCGCTCCATGACTTGACTAGGCCTAGGCTATCTAAGAGTTCACTAATGGTACGGTACCACTCCAATGGTGCATCCACTAACCCGTAACAGCCTTTGCGAACTCTAGTGATGCTTCCTGCATCAAGACCCATTGCATGGCAAATCTCGTCAACCGGTATGCAGTACAGTTCCTGAGGATATTTTCGTCCTTGAAGAAAAGCTCCAGTGACATCCCCTTTTTGTACCAACCATCCAAAACGAGCTGCAGCTGTCAAAACAAATTGTCGGGTCTGTCTTGTCATGACTGGTGAGGTGGTTTCGCGCTCTTCGTAGGAGGGATCTTGATAGCCCAGTAAGATGGCCCGTGCCTTTGCTTTGGAAGAACCATCATCGCAGCGCTTCCATGTCAAAAGCCAACGCATTTTGATTGCGACCTCAGGTGGTGGTCGGCGGTCTGGTGGTAAGGCTTCAAATGCCTTGGCGGCCACATAGTTTTTCACCTCAATCTGTTTGGCTTCTGCAAACTTCCGTTGATCTTCCACTGACAGTTTCTTCTCATTGACCTCTATGGCTCGCCGTTTCAAAGCACCCACAAAATAGCCTGAAAAATCATTCACAAAACTGGACCACTGTCGCTTCGAGTCTGGATTCTGAATCTCGATCTCGATGGCGGTATTTGGTTGCTCCCAGAACTCGGTTCCGTGTGCTTCTTGGCGACTATGTTCAGTGGTTTTGCTACACCAACACTCTTGTGTGATCAATCCATCGGCCAGTTCTGGTTCACCAGTTCGTTGACGGGTGGCCGGTTGATACATTGTTCCATCAGGCAGCTGTCTTTCTGGACCCTCCCCCAGGCGTTTACCCCAGACTCGGTGTCTGGGGGTTTCCGGTGGGCCTGCTGGCGGCATGGGGGAGTCTTGCGCTTCCTCCCACTCTTGTTGGTCTGGAAGCTCATGTGTGATATCTTCAAACTCGTTGCCGCCCAAACCTTGTGTCAATCTTGAAAAAGTCCATGGTGCCTGTTGCTGTTCATCCTGGGTGATGTGTTCCAGTAACTCCTCTCTCTGTGTTGCTGGTCGCAACTGTTCTGGACAGCATTTGACAAGCCGTCTTCCCCGGATCACCCAAACAGAGCTTCCAGGGCGTACGCTTCCGTCAGCCTCCCGCTTGGTCTCAGTTGCCAAGATTCGTGCTGGACCCAGAAAACATCCTTGTTTCTGCTGTGCTGACGTAGATTTCTGCCCTGAGACCTGCTTTCTCCAGTAGTATACCAAATCACCAGGGTGATATTGATACTGCCGGTTGCCACGTGAGTTCAGAGCTTTGTTGATCCTCTGTTGTGCTGTCCACTCACTGTGGGCCTGTTCGGCTATTCGCATCAGTTCTATGCTGGTCTCAAATTCAGGGCCGGCTCGAGGAACCAGTTGTTCCACGGACTGTCCAGTGAGGGTCTGTATGCAACGTCCCATTTCATCAGGTGCTCGGCCCAGTGCATGCTGTATAGGTGAGAACCCTCTAACCAGGTCACGACTGTTAAAAGTCTTGACAGCTTGGCTGAGGACGACTTCTGCCGATAGTTGTGGTTGCTCCTGGATGAGCTTGGACATAAGGTTCTTGACACCTTGAATTGCTTGCTCGCATGTTCCCAATTTCCAGTGTGCCTCTCCAGGTATAAAATCCAGGTAAATGCCATGCAAGTCACAAAAACGTTCTACTTCATTGCTGCGGAAAGCTCCGGCAGGATCGAGCCGGATGGCTTGTGGATTTCCAAAGTACTGGCACCACCCTTCTTGAAGGTAACTCAAAAACATGGCCGCACTCATGGTTTGGTGTTTTCCCTTACACAAAATTCTAGCCGCTCTAAATTGGGAACCCTCATCAATGATCAAAGCAAATTCCACATGTTCTCCGGTGGTCGGGTGAATCCATTTTCCCCCGTCCGCACTGATGACACTCCATTTTGGTGGGAGAGGTTCGAGAGTAGCAACATGTTTATGGGAAATTCGGGTTCTTTCTTGACACACATGACAAGTGAATTTTCTAGCCAACATCATGACATGTTCAGGGGCACCCCGCTTTTTCAACGCATCAATCATGTGACGAACACTTCCATGACCCGTGGCGGCATGCAGTTGGTACAGCTGCTTGTTGATTCGGTCTTCATCAACTTTAGAACCCTTTAAATCCCCATGTTGGACCCAAGCATGTTCTTCGGGGTTATGGTTCTCAGTACCCAAATTTTTCAAAAAGGTGTGTTCCTGACAAGCCCCACAGTTCAGTTCCCGATCATGACTCTTGAGTTCTTCACAAACGCACATGGGACCCACCCCAAAATGAGGTGGCAATTGAGAATCCCCATTCATCTCGGAAACAACCATACTATGGGACAGTTCCTGTTGAATAGCTTTGCAAACCCGCTTCGCAAACTCCACAGTATAGAAAGCACTTTGGTGGGTCAAACTCCCTTCACACCGAACATGGTCAACCGACTTAGGGCATCTACAAGGTAAATCCAACATTTGGGCCATCCTTTTTTGGGTTGACATGATTTTCCATTCTTTGTGGAGGTGGTTTCCCGTTTTGGGGTCACGCAAGTTCACCTGACAACCGTTAGTCACACTCACCCACATCTGGTACTTTTCCATGATACGCTGAATTAAGGGGAGTCTCCAGGCATGACATTTGTGGGACCACTCCCAAGTGACATGAATCCCTTTTTGGATGGCATAGTGCAGCACACAACTGGCCCCAACATACTGCCGCAAAACCTCTTTGCGTTTTTCAGCCAACTCTGTTTTCTGTTGTTCAGTTCGCTGGTTCAGATTCTGCATGGGGGAGAAGGGTCCACATTCGGTACTTATCCAAATATGAAGGGGGTTACATTGGTCCACCCGTTGTAACAACAGTTTAACCCCTTCCCCAGTGCTCAAATCATAGTTGTTCCAGTGAGCGCACCTAATTGCCGCTTCTTCATAACCTGCCTGTGCCTGTACAACACTGCTCAAAACACTGTTGGGACTACTGGCCACTTCCATCAACCAAGTGCGTTTCTGTTGAACCAAACCCTGAAAAAACCCAGGAACCAAATTTTGAGAAACTTGCTCCAAGTGTCGAGCAGCGGCCTCTGGAAGAGCTCTTCGACTCTCACAGAAACTAGGGTCCTCTAAGGTTGGGACTGAGTTGGCATCAGGCGTGAAGACATTGGGATCACCTGCAGCATCTCTCAGGGGATCTCGAAGCTGTGCTCCGACGACTTGGCCTCCTTCTTGCGGGGGCGCTCGTTCTTGAGCTCGCTGATCTCCTCCTTGAGGTCCTGCATGGCCTCGACCAGGTTCACCAGGACTTCGGTGACATTGGAGCTGCTGGCACTGGTGAGGCTGGCTGTGTTCTTCGGAGCTGCCGGTTGTGTCTTTGTCTTCACTGGTGTAGGCTCGTTGTGGTGTGTCTCCATCTTCACGGGAATGCCCTGCTCGGACTTCATGTTCATGCCCTTCTTCTCTTTGTCGAGCCAGCGAGCCAGACGGGCTAGCTGTGGACACGTTGAGCCTTCTTCCCATGTCTTGAGCACCCACTGGCAGTACTGCTGGTCCTCCTGAATCTCCAGGTAGCTGAGTGCAGCTGCCTTGCCGAAACCCACAGGGTCGCTGGCATCGGGAGTGCTGGTCTCGTAGATCTTCACCATGGCTGCTCGTTGGAGTGTGGCCATGGTCTCGTTGCCATTCACTGGCACCCCCAGGCCGTGGCAGTGCTTCTGCAACAGGGCTTTCTTCTGGCTTGCTTTGTTCAGTTGGATCACCATCTCGCGCAACTCCGTGCGCTGTTTGTGAGGCGGCACCACACCATGCTCCTCGTGGAGCTGGGCCACTCGGTTCTTCATCTCGGCCATGGACCACTTCGGCGGCACAGTCTCGCCGTACTTCTCGATCTCGGCGATCAACATGGGCTTGGTCCAGCGACTGGACATGGGCACTACTGGTACAAGCGTGTGGTTCACCGCCAGGTGGTTCACTTGGGCTGTCGCTGCTGCAGTGCTGGCTTGCAGTTGCTGGCTGTTGAACATCCTTGGAGTGATTAGGATTACCATCAAAAACACAACCATCATGCATGCGCTTATCCCCCATGTGACTTTCAAGACCCTGCATGTGACAACATGAGTTTTCCATGTGACCATGTGACATGACACTCCCCTGTTCTGTCCGTTTGACCTGAACATCACTGACCTCCCTTTCTCCTTCAGGCAAAGGATCAGGGAGGAGTTGTCCCTAGAGGTAATCCCGAAGGCTTGGCACCCGACTCTTGCAGGTGTGAGCTTTCTGAAACAAATCATCGGTCAGCGAGATGAGCTGGTGTCCTGCTGCCGATCTTTCAAGAGGAATCACCTTAGTGTCATCTAAGCCTCTCAGTACCAGCAGGTCAGCTTCAAAGTCAATCACGGCCTTCAGGGACCGCAAGGTCTGGATGGACAGGAGGATGGGACCACTTCCTCGGTCCAGTGCATGCACCTGGAGGAGTCCAGGTTTCTGGTTGGCAGTCACCCCCAAATTGGCGGTGGAGACGCAGCGATCCTGCGATGAGTTGCCAAAACCAAACAGAGGTCGGTTGTTCACATCCACGCCCTTCAAGCGTTGATCTCCATGTTTGGAGGCGTTCAGGTCCATCACTGCCTGGATAGCTTCCACACTTCCCAAAGTGCGCGTTGCGCCACCATCTATGACAGCACATCCGGCCCGAACTGCTTCCTGAGTGCTCCGAGCTTCGGAACTGGCAGCCATTGCGGTCATCGCAGACTCCTCGGTGAAGCAGACAAAAGGTGCTTCTTCAACCACATTGGCATGGCCTGTGTCAGGCCTAGTCTTGTCAGGGCATTCTGAGGTGCGGTGAGCTTTTCCACAGCGTAGACATACTGGGTCTCCCGCAGCACGAGGTGCTTGTGTCTGAGGTGGGCCATGACCATTGCTGTAGTTGCGACCACCACTGGTGCGGTAGTACTGGCGGCTAAGTCGTACTTGATGCTGGCGAGCACGAGCTTCTTTGAGTGTCCGACGACCATTCTGGATCATGGCATAGGCCTCTTGGACTTCCTTCTCAGCTTCACCATACAGCACCATGCCCTCGTCGTTGAGCTCGGACATGATCATGGCCTTCTCCTTTTCGTCGACGTCGTCATCCGCAAACTCATAGTCCTCATTCCAGAAGCCTGCGAACTTGGACTGCTGGTCACGGCGCTTGAGGTCTTCGTCAGGCCACTGAAGACGAAGTTCACGGGACACCCTTTGGACGGTGTAATCATCCTGCAAGGCTGTTTGGATCATGTTCTTTTCCGTGCTATCCAACCCAGCGTCAGCTAGGAGGTACCAGCCCTGCAGGAACTCAGGCAAGAGCTCTTCTGTGTGAAGTTTCCATGGCTCATCTTCACTTGTCGCATGCCGTGAGGCTGAGTAGTGCCATGAAGCTGACTCCTCATAGGGCGTGCTGGGAGCATCATACCATTGTTCTTCTTCTTCTTCTTCCGGTTGGCCACCTGCTCCATCGGCTTCAGGGCTCGCTGGGGCCTCACTTCCATTCTGAGACTGAGACTGGTTGGAGCGCCAACTGCGTCCCTGCCAATCCCATGAGCGCCAAGAGCGCCAGGCTGGGGTTTGCCACCACTGATCATCATGTTGATGATGGGCGTAGTGTTTCTGCACCTTTGACAAGGACTGGCGGGCACGGTGGTATACTTCCACCTTCCGAGTGATGTAGGAGTTCATGGTCTCAAACCGCTTCCTCCGGCTCATTCGGAAGTACTTGTTCAAGTAGTCAGTCATTTCAGGGATGGTTGGCCTCCCTAAGCAGTCTCTCAGGTGGCGCAATAAGTGCGACACCCCACCATCGTAGGAAAGCCACTCTGGTCGCTTCCCAGTCACATGTTTTCTGGCTGGGCCACTCAGCTCGGCCACAAGCTTTGGCCCTGCCAGGTACCGCTTGTGGTACGGGATGCTCTGCTCCCACTGCAGAGTCCATCCCACTGAGGGACACCGTCCTTCGACCTTGTCACCTCAGTGCTACCTAAACCACTCATTGTCTTGACAGGCAAGGCGTGTCAAGCGTTTCTTTCTCTGTTTCTCCTGGATCGTTTCAAGGCTTCAAGCTACCATCAAAGTGGTCTGAACTCGCTGGGTGAAGTAGCAATGGTTGCCCAAGAGGAAGACTGGAGGAAACTATGGCTGAAGGCCCCACACAAGATACGGCACAGCGGTATCTACCCAAGGCGCAGCCTCTTTTTCCTTGACCAATCTCAAACTGCGGTGCATGGCAGGGTTCTGCGCATGTGAGCTCAAGTGTTCTTCACTTGCATATATATATGCTAATTCTGTCCATTCCCCTAGTACTAAACACCACGGTTTCTGGGAGGTGTTTAATATGAGGCAATACGATTACCATGTTGTTGCTCAGTTGTATCCCATTGAACATATTAAACCCCATTCAATCCCGATTTGTTGATGCTCAAAATCCCAGTAAATCAACATTTTGGTTGATTAAAATTCCATGAACTCATTTTTTTTGGTTTAAAATCCCATTAAATCCCCTCATTGAGACACTTACTGATCCATCCGCGAAAAAAAAACAGGAGTTTGACGCCACACCAAGCCCTGAAGAGCTTGCTGCGGTGGTCGGGGCCAAAGAAACATGGACCGGCGGTGACCGGCGACCGGATTGATTGAGAAGGATTTATCCGGTCAATTAACAGTTCGACCCTGGAAATAACATGAAATAAGCAATTTTTAGTGGTTTCACTAATCCTCCAAGCCCTATTTGGCAGGGTCGAACTAGTTTTTTTGATGAGGTTAAGCAAGGGTGATTTAATGGAATTTTAACCATCAACAAATGGGAATTCAATGGGACTTAATGGAACTCAATGGGGTTTGGATGGGGTTGGGTTGTGAGGTGAATTCAACAGTCTAAACCAAAAAAAAACATGAGTCATCATTGATGGTGAATTAAGAGGGATTTATCATTAGGTTTTATGATGACTGCACCATTGAGGTCACAGTCATTGATCGTTGCGGTGGACTATCCGAAAAAATCATGATTGCAACGTATCCAGATGGGAGATTTTCTGGGAAGATCGATCAGGGTTAAATCACGGTGATTCACCTGAAAAAAGGCCAGCTATTGCAATACAAGAGGGTTCGGTCGCAGTGATGTCGTTATACTTTACCCAGATCTATAGATATTGATGGGAGATAGTGGGATCATGTGGGATAGAACTAGCATTTGCTGTAGCGACCGCCCCCTGGCCATGGTCAACGTAAAGGACGGTTTTTGTAGGCGGGTTCATCCACAAATTGACGTACATATTTCAACTTATTTTTTTTTTGGAAATGATAGTAATTTGCCCAGATGAATTTGTTTGAACCTAGGGTGTCGCACAATTTCATATTGAATCACCATTTTTTCCCACAAAGTCACCATTTTGAAGTTCCCACATGTTCAAACAGACCGATATGGAGTTGCTGAAAGGTGCGTGAATCACCAGTGGGGGGTCAATCAACTGAGATTCGCAACTCACGAGCCCCCAACAATAGCTGTTTTCAGAAGTAGCATGAATGAACATCATGAAACATGGGAATTGGCCATAGAGACAACCCCTTGTTTTGATCTATAGGCATATGCTAAATGAACTAGAACTTAGATGCCGTTCGCAGTCGCAGTATAAGATGCTGACTGAAATCGGAAAGTGGAGGGAGATCATTGGCCCCGCATGAAATTTGGGAGGGCGGAACAAAATATCAACTAGGGCGGCTTGAAATTACCAGATTGGTAGATTGTTGTTTTGGAGGGGAAAAGAAGCATGTGATTTGCACATATATTTGAACATTTGTCACATCTATGAACAAACATACAGTAGGTTTCCAGGAGAGTATGGCTGCAACTACTACGCCACTGGCGTCAGAAAATTGGGGGTGGACTCCAGACTTCGAAAGTGGTGATCGCAACCGTGGTGATGGGTTCCGTCCCCTTTCTGAACGTGGGCTATCCCATCAATGGGTCAACTCACGATGGTTCTTCACCACTTATCTGGTCGGTGGTTTCAAACATGGCTGGATTATTTTCCATTTCATATATGGATAATATGGGTTGTCATCCTTCCCATTGACTTTCATATTTTTCAAGATGTTTAAAACCACCAACCAGTCTATAAATGGTATTTGATGCCATATCCCCATAATATATGGATAATATGGGATAATCCGGAACCCATTGACTTTCATATTTTTTAAGATGGTTATTGCACCATGTTAAAACCACTTAAACCCCCTTATGATCCCTCAGATCCTCCAAATTCACAGAGGTTCTACCTCCAAAAACTCCACAAACTTGGCCCACCACTTCCACCTGTCGACAAAAGTTCTGTGATTTTCAAATACGTGTTGTTGTTGTTTTTTTTCTGATTCTTACATGAGAGCAATAACAATGTTAGTCAAATAGTGTAACCGTATTAAACTATGTTGTAATAGCTATAACCAAAGAATTGACTTCCTGCAAAGGATAATCTCATTTCTTGTTCAATGACATTTCTTAACACACGCCTTGACCGTAAGCGGTGTCTTTTGGGTCAAGCGGTCACATCCTTGTTGTCCTCCATGAGATCCCCATGTTGCATCAGCTTGAAAGACCCTGGAAAGGCCAGACGACTATTAGTCCAATTCATGTTGTTTTCTTTGCTAGTTGCTCAATTTTAATTACGGTACGTCCAAGCGGGATACGTTTAGCAAGATCATGGATTTCGAAAACGTCTGGCTTTCCACTAGGGCCCAGCGTGGGCACAGGGTCTTGGTTCATGTGGACAAGTTCATCTGGACAACGACCAATGGACCAATCACCCCGTAAATTATGATTCGCCCACTCAGGACTCAGGACATAAAATTTGCTGGCCTAAGTTTTCCCGTTTGTGATACATCTTAAGATTGTCCAGATATGGGCCGTATGTCAAAACTTGATGCACCACTTACCCAAACACCATGGCATGTGTTTGAATGCACTGAAATGGGGTACCACGAGCAGCGATGATAGTGTCTTTCAATCTTCGGGGTAGCATGGGGGAAGCAAGCTTTGGGAGACCCATACTTGAGTTTTGGGGGGCTTCAATGACATACGGCCATGGGGGTACAGGAACAGGAGGAGCCCAAATTGAGTTGGGACTGTGAACAACCAGTTGATATCAGTTGATAACCAATCAATCATACAGCATCAGCCATCAGCATCAGCATGAGCGGCAACAAGAGCAACGGCGATAACGACAACGGAAACATCGTGAGTTTCTTTTCCTGGACCATGGCGGCGCCAGTTACAGTTATTATACGCCAAACAGTTGTGTTCAAAAGGTTTGGAAACTTGGCACTTTGGGGAGCCACACGCGGGGAGGTAATTCAAAATAGTGCCTGAAGAAAACACCAATTTGTTCATTGACGACCGGAACGGGAGTTTCTGCTCCAAGAGAAACAGTCTTCACGACCGCCGAGTGAGCTTGCAACGCTCACGGGTGCTTCTGCCAGACTACTTGCCAGAGAGCAATGGGGCACGGAGCCTGCCAAAGCGTTTAGGGTATGGCTGATACAGCAGCAGTCGATAGGCATCGATGACCAACCAAACTTAGCATTTGTTGCGCCCATGTTTTCTGTCAGGCAAAAGTTCATCAAAATTCAATTTGGCCCCCAAAACTGCAAGCACAAGTTTATAAGTGTTTGTTTAGAAAGCATAAAACAAGTTGTAAATCCCATGACGTGACAATTTTGGTTGGTGAAACACCCATTTTCCTCTGGTTTTGTATCAGGGCATCACCTTGTATCATATCCAGTCGAATTTTGCGGAGGGTCGCTGGATTTTCCCCAGTCTTCCTGATCACCATTTCTCGCCAGAGGCCACCCCTTCCAGGGGATCGCGCACTGTGGACGTCCAGGATTGAAATTTATGCAGGGTGCTTCATGAAAAGCATCAGGTTCCCATGCAACCAAATATAATTATACATGTATTTATGCCATGCGTGATATACATTGATAGAATTATCGGTTTCTAATTGGTGTGCTGCAAAAACCAATCGGGTCATCATCATAACCCCCAAAATAACGTCATTTGGAGCTGTACAACATACATCGAGTTAAATTTATAATTATAGATCTAGGTAAAGCTACAGATATGGATTTAGGTATGGATGTAGATATAGAAATACTAAACCAGAATTTCTGACCATCAATTGTTTTTCAATCTGTTTACTCCACCATTTGCGAATCGAATCTACATGGAATGTGATTTCAGCTTTTGAGCATTCACAGAGAGAAAAATGTTTGAACCAGCTGTTGACTTAGGTTTGCCATGATTTTTCCATGTCATGCCGCAGTTGATGTACCAACCATTGATGAAATCATTGGGAATTTGAGCCACCCTTCTCCAGATATAGCCCGGCGCTTGTACCAAAACGCTGCGTCTATACTTCATGAAGTTTCGATGTTCATTACACTAGTAATGAAGGCATTCAAGCTTCAAGATGCGGGTCCAGGATTCAAAGCCCAGGTGCTTGATGAGAGTTTTGGGATGTTGATTTATCACGGTCTATCTCATGTGGTGGACATTATTGATTCATGGCCATGTGTGAATCCGTCAAAAATCACTTGACTATGGATCGTACTGTAACCTGAAAGTAGTTGGTACTTTTGGATGCTCATCCCCTCGCTCACATTCGGATTCCTAGGTTTTGAAAGGTTTTGATCTAGCATTTTTTTAGTTTTGAATCGCGCAAAAAAATCACACATTGACCCATGCAAATCCTATATGTTCATGTATTTTCTAAGGATCATCTCGAACCAAATCGAAAATGGAGGACCCAAAAATCACATGTGTCTCTTAATTTCAATATCAAAGCGACATTTGTTTGATGGGTATCTTCACTTGTTCAGATTCAAATCCATTATTCATGACAAAAATCCATAATAGTGCTGCTTAAACGTCGTGCCCTCTGGTAAACTAACATAGCTCTGGACAGTTCCCCATTTATAGTTGATTTACCTATTAAAAATTGTGATTTTCCATAGCAAACCGTTAGTTTACTACTGGGTAAAATTTGCGACCATGGGCTCCAGGAGTCGGCCACAAAAGGAGTCGGCACGGCGGAGGCGGCAGAAAACTTCGGAAATGACATGTCCAAATGGGAAGATCATGGGAAGATAATATGATGGATATGATCGTTTGTTTCTATATAGTTTAAATCAATTCTTTTTCTTGAAAATTATAGTTTAATTTCATATCGTACGTC